GGACCACTGTGATTGCAGCTCACTTAGAGTCAATGTTAAAATGTTTCGTGATACATGAACTGCAGTAATGTGGCATTTTAGATACTACGATTTTTATGCAGGGCTGGGCCCCACCTCACGTGTGTCGCACAGTTACTTAGGCAACATTTCACGAATGAAAGTCTTATAAGCCAACACTTCCCCTCTTACCTCAACCTCTGTGACTCTTGGCTATGGGGTTATCTCAAAAGCACTATTTATGGTGATAATCTAAACAATTTGGCAGAAATGAAAAATGTGATACACTGACATGTCCGTAACATTCCTCCTGATACGCTAAGAGCTGCTGTCGAGAATGCAGTAACAGGATTTAACTTACTTTCGGAAAATGCTGGACGCTACATTGAACCTGCTTGGTAACACGTTTCGGAAAATATTAAACGCATTTTAAACAGATGTTTTCGTGTCTTATTTCATTTAACAGTATTGTATACAGCGCCGTTTTTCCCCTGGTGGTGAGTTTTTGAACTCTTTTTTTTTTTTCCGCGGAAAATAAATTCCCATAACCTCCTTTACACGATTCCCAAGTTTGATAACATTTGGTCGGTAGTTAGTAGTTTCCTTTTATGACCATTTCAAATTGGATCTTTAATTATAACCACCATGTAAATTAAACTTTAAAAGTTTGACAGTTTGGTTTCAAGTCCCAGCTTTAAAAAAATATATATAAATATAATCTTTTATATTAATCTTCTTAGAAAAAATGTTTTAAGAAGCTAATTTTTCCCTCGCATTATAGATTGTATAAAAAACATGATATTTAATATGATTTAGATTGTTTCAGCCAATATAAGAATCGGGTTACTCGGTGGTGAAGAATAAACACTGCTGGACTGTTTTATTTCTTTGTCATTTAGCAAAAAATCTTTTAATTAAAATATTTATCCTTTGGAATTTGCTCTATACTTTGTTTATAGTTAAAATGTCTAGAAAATGAAAATCTGTCTTCAGCTAAAACACAGTTGATGCAATTGATATTTTAAAAAATTGGCAAGAATGCAAAATTTATGAAAATCTAGCAATCCAAAAACCTTAATTTTCTTGTGTGAGCACTTAAAATAACTGTAGAAGGAAAGAAGAAAATTAGGGAGAAAAGCAAGCAAAAATTTGCTGGGAAAATTTGGCTCTTAGACATACCAAGATGTTTCAAAAAGTTGGACGCTTTTGAATATACTTTCAGGTTACTTCAAAGAATTTAGGCGTTCAAAGAGAAAACACTTGGGCGTGTACAGCAGCAAATACCATCAATTGAGCTCGTGTTATCAGAAGAGACAAAAACGATATCATTGCAGATTAAAGTGAAGAGTGACTGGTTTTAGACTATATGGTTGTATAAATTTAAATTACGTTATAGAACATCATATCGTACCATAAATGGAGAATCCCATGATTTTCTCAGTCGAATTATTTGAAGATTCAGGAGTTTATCCAGTATTGTATGTGAATGTCACCTAAAGGCGTTTTTTTTCCCTCCTGATGAAACAGCGACTGAGCGGTAAAGTTGCTGAACTCTGGTAGTTCGGTCCGAGGTTCAAATCCCCCGAACGGGCTGGCTGCATGGGCGTTTTCGTGGTTTTCCCCATGTGTAACGTGTATGCGAGCCAGTTTTGATTAGAAAGTCCTCCTCGAAGGCATCCCTCCCCTTAGGCAGATAGCCCTAGTGTGCTTTGTCATAATTAAATAAACCAAAACCTCTTGATGAAACCAGTCTTTTCTTTCATCTCATACCTTCAAAATGTTTAGCCTCTAAAGACTGATAAAGGCTCTGACCAAATATTGATGAAATGGATTGAATTGGATTATTAAGTTACGTCAAAGCAGGGCTATCTGCCTAAAAGGAAGGATGCCTTTGTGAAGAACTTTTCAAAGGGAAAACCAGCTGACATACACGGTTACACATGAGAAAATCCACGAAAACACCCATGCAAACCAGCCCGTTTGCCCACCGGGATTCAAACCCCGGAGTGAACTACCAGTTGTTCAGCGACTTTACCGCTCGGCCGTTTGTGGGCCTTTATGAAATGGAAGGCGATAACTTTATTTAAAATGATTGTCAGAAATATCAAGATATTTCGAAAAGTTGGATGCTTTTTAATATACTTGTGGATTGCCTAAAGAAAAAGAGCAAGAATAAAGTAGAATGCCTGAAGAAAAAGAGAAGAAAAAAATAAATTTTTGGGTAAAATTTAGTATTTGTATTTTTTTTAAATTTAAAACTTTCAATCTTATGATATTTGATTCTTAGGATTTCAAAGATAAAATATTTGACTAAAAGATGAATAACATTTAAGAAACCAAATGTAGGATAAAATTGTGTAAAGCAATGGGCACAATGATAAAACTGTTTAAAGCAGTGTATGCAAGTCATCCTAAGTTAAAATGTCGGTTATACATCTCTCTTATTTATTTATATATATCTTTTCTGAACGGAACATTGAAAGGGGTGTTAACTATGCTTTACTGTATTTGCTCTTTTAATATATGCAGTTTTCAAACGCATCGTAATCTGGTTTACAAAGTATTCCTCCGAAAGAAACGCAATTCAAATAAATAAAATCAAATTCTGGAAAATTTATAGTAATAAATATATTAAAAATGCTCAATTCGAAGGAATTAATAGAAAAATTTTAAAACAATTATCTGAAGAGACAATGCAACACAAACAATTAAAAGTAAAAGAATAAAAATTTAAAAATTACCTAAAATAATAACTATGACAAAAATATATATAAAGAAAACTATTTGAAAAAAAAAAATAAGTAAACGCTGCACCTTTATTTACGCAGTTCGAATAGGGTAAATAGAAATTTTAAAACCAGTTATTCGAAAAAAAAAAAAAAAAGTGCAACTTAAACAATTAAAATGAAATTCGAAAAAGAAAAAAATTACTTAAAATAATAAGTTATAATTGAAAAATATAATATAAAGAATATTATTTGGAAAAAAAGGAACGATGGTGACTTTTTTTCCTCACGGGAAAGGAAACTAGGTTGCCATATATTAAGAAGTTCGCCAAGTGAAGTATTCTTGGCGCAAACTGACAAAAAAAAGTGCCAACATAAATTTGTGAATTTCTCCGTAAATTTCGCTCCAAATTTTACAAAATTTCATATTTAGGCGTAATTTGAGTCGTAGAATCGAAATATGTAAAAAAATTGGTATGTTATTTCAGAAAAAGTCCGATTTTGTGTCAAAACCTATGTTAGAATAGTGTATGCTATATATAAATCTAATATATATCCTAAGTCGCGCTTTCGAGACATGAAAAACGCAGTTTGAATTTTGTCAATCGGCCCAGTAGATCGGGAGATATATGACTGTTCCCCCCCCCCTTTTTTTTTTTTTTTTTTTTTTTAGCAGTGTACATTGCTTGGTCTGTGTATCAGTTCAGAATGCTCATCCATGGCTGTTATTGCAATAAGTCGCACATGATCATTCTGAACTGACATCCACGTAAAAGAAACTAAGATGGCTTTGCTATTAGTGATGTGTAGTATCTGTGTTATTGCTACAATATGTAATAATGGAATCCAGTTTTCTTGCATATCATGCCTAGAAAATGAACAGCATATCAGTTGAAATAGGGATGTTTATGTCTGTTGCTGTAAGAATATTCTAGGATAGTAATTAAGCAACTTGCATGTGCAGGGACTTGTTGAACAGCTGTAGAATAACTGGCAGCAAATTCCTGTAGGTCACATTCATTGCTGTGAGTCTAAGTCTATAAAAAATCAAATAATATACTCTGTATGCAAACTTTTTTATAATTTATATTGCATCTAAATCATGTGATTTAATTTAGTTGTATACCTAATTGATATTGTTTATAAATGTTTCCATCTGTATTATAATTAGTAAAAGATGTATTTTGCCATCTTTTATACATTTCAATAATATGAAATAATTTATTTTTGAAGTACCAAATGCTGCAAAAGATATCATGATATGTACTTTAACTGGACTGTCATTTTTCTAGTTTGCAGATTTTATAAGATGGGCCCAAGAGAATTAAATAAGTATGGTATGCAAGAGAGAGTGTACTGATTGCAGTATGGGATTTGATGTTTTTTAGTTGAATAGCAATTAACTTTAATTTTAGCGACTGTCTAAAATGTCCAGTCATGTATTTAATTTTTTCATGATAAATTATGCAAAATTTACAAACTGTATTCTAACAAATAAAAATCTTACTAACTAATAGACTTACTAACTGTCTTACTAAGTCTCACCTATTATGAATTCAATGAAGCTAAAATTAGAATAGTTTGTACTCTGTGAACGAGGCTGATAAGGCAATGCAATTTTGCTGCATTTCTGTTCAAATTCTGTTACACTGATAACAGTTCAAATTTTTTTGCATTGTTAGTTGTATAGTAGCAAGTTTTTTCTGATAGCTTTCAAGAAAATATTGAAGCAGAAAACATTTTTGACTGTTTCATACGATTAAAAACTGAACTTTTCAACTTTTCTCAGTTGAAAAAATATAACTCATTTCTCACCTTACAGAAATTCTATGGTGGTGGGAGATAACATTTTTTTATCACTGTGCAGCAGAATCACTATAACAGCCTTATGTTTTGCAAAAGCATTTCCGAGCACATTTGGATATATGCTGGAATATATTTATATCACCAATATTGTATTCATGTTTTAAGCATATATCAACAGAGCTATATTTTTTTTTATCGTAATTTGCTTTACATGTGTCCACTTTATTGCTTTCTTTTATGGGAAAGTGTGCAAGATGCTTTCTGGTTTGTATTTAGTGACTGAATAATAATCTATTCTGCTGGTTATCATTATTTTGACAGATTTAATGTCAAGACACATTATAGAAATCATCTGGAATTGTCTGTAGTTAACAGCCATTTCGGATTTGCTGGTCTTGGTCTGCATTCTGCATAGTTAGCTTGCATCTAACATTGATTTTGATATCTCTTTGTCATTTCTTCATGTTATAGGTGATGGTATGGAGGGAATGAAGAATTCTCCAGCAACTGGTCCTGGCACTCCTCGAGAAGATGGACCACAAATGGGGGATTATGGTATTCCAGGTTATGGACAAGACAATGTGAGGACATATGCTTACTGATGTGTTTTTCTTTGATTGATGAGTTATTTGTTTAATTTCACATGTTAACCAAATTGGTTTATTCTGTAGGTATTTCATTAGTATTACCTATGTATGTGCATGCAAGGTAGAAAAATCACAGCTTCCGTGCTTTTCAGATGCAATTAGTCAAAACATTTTCATTTCTTCCTGTAAATTTTTTCAGCAATTTAGCCTTAACTTATCAATTTTTCAAAGCTGATTTCCTATACTTGTTTTTTAATTAAAAAATTTTTGAAAAGGTGTTTGATGGTAGCTATTCAATTTTCATTCTCCTCTTTTTTTATTTTTTAATTCATACTGTTAAAACTTTGCTATATTTTTTCGCTCCTTTTTTTTGTTTTTGGTTCCTCTAGGTTCCTTTTGGAATTTTGCTTAGTTTTAAAATTGCCATGTTATTCTTACATCTGTTACTTTAGATGCATGGTAATGAGACATCATTAAATTGAAGTCAAAAGAATTTTCATAAAAGTGTATAATTTCTATGCTAATATTTGTAATAGTTATATTTCCAGCTGGCTAGCATTTTGAAAATAATAAGCAGTGTATATTTCAATGATAATATTTATTTTGTCAATTACTTCTCTTGAAATCTCTCAACTGCATAGCACCTTGTCCAGTTGAGTTTTACTATTTGTTTACACTATCTCAATCTGTAAAGCATTTTGCTGTCATTTTATTTAGTGGTCTAGAATCACTGTTAATGACTAACTTTATATTATTACTGAAGTAGTAGTTATGCATGTTTTGATATGAATCCTTTAATGTCTGTAGGTCAAATATAATTTGCGTATGCTTTGCAGGCTTGAATCACAGCTATTGGGAAATGTTTTTCATTCTATTCATAAATTTCCTTTCCTTTTAGTTAACTTTTTTTTGTTTTGTTGTTGTTGTTGTTCATGACTCTAATGATGCTTTTATTGGTTGTATTTAAATGAAGGGCAAAAATATTTTTTTATGTTTGTGAAATTTTCAAATGTAAAAAAATGCTGAATTCATAAATTTTTCAGATGTGATTATGAAAATTCCATTAATTATTTTATATAGAAAAATATTGCTGTAGAATATAAAAACAAAATTATTGAATATTGTTGAATGAAATCTTAGTCCTTTATTAATATTATCTTTTGTTTTTCTTGTGTAATATTCTTTCTAACAGCTAACAAATAATTAATATTTTCTTTTCCTCTTTGGGTGTTGGCTATAATATTTTCTGGTAAGTAGCTGTAGTATGCATAAACAGAAATGTATACTGTAATAGGGCCTTATATTCATTATAAATTAAATATGGATATAGTAGAGCATCTTATCAATATATATCAAATCGATATATATCAAATTTCACTATCGATATATATCAAATTTCATCATCTGAATGGATAGGAAAAAGTTGCAATAACTTCCTTTTTTTACCCTGTGAAAGAAGGAACTTTTTCATTGATTTTATAGAATATTTCTGTAGAAAAGAGTAAATATAAAACTATGTATCTAGCTGTGTAATTTTGGTATAAATTTACACAAGTAGTTGTAAATATTTCCTCTATTATGCTTATGTATATATAGTTATTGCATTATATTGCAGAGTAGAAAATTTCACTTATATATTGTCATTTTCCCATACTAAAATAGTTCTATTAAGGTTGGAGATCATATGCTTGGCATTGGCAAAATATTCCTAGAAGGGCACTTTTTTAAAAGTACTAGTAAATGTTGGATATGCTAACTTGGAGCAAAGATCTGAAATTTCTGGACTTCTTCCTCATGTATATACAATTTTCATGTGTGTGTGTCTGTGTGGAATTGCAGCATCAAGAATGAAAATTCATAAAAAATTTAAATTCACAGGATTAATAGACTTGTTACTCATAAGTAGATGATTAAGTAAAATTAGAAACAAATTATTCAGATCATCTTGATTTATTCCAGAAGTGCGATAATACATTTATTTACATGCCTGAGCATGCTGTTGATAAGAACATTAATCATGTTCTGAGTAATGTTTTGCCATGCTGCAAGAACTTGGCATTTGCAGCATTAAGGTGGGCAGCTGCCTCTTTTTCTTCCAATAGCCAGTCAATGATTCCCTACTGTGTTTAATGGGAGATAGGTCTGGAGTGGCATGGCAGGTCCATGCAAACTGTTCACAGCAGCACAAACAGCATTTAGCTTAGAACTGAACTGATTAGTTTTAGGAATACTTTGCAGGAATATTGCTTGTTACATAATTAAATTTGTATAACACCGAGCTGTCAGTATAGGAAGAAAAACTCATTTACCATGCATTCCCACAACATTATTCCTCGATAAGGGCCAGTATAATGTTAACTCTCATAAAGGCTTGTGGCTAACATTAGTCACATGATCACTGAAACAGAAACTAAGAGGAAACGGATTGTTTTCAAGCTGTATATATATACTGTGATAGCTTTTGAAAATATGGCTTTGGTTAAGCTTTGGTTAAGTGGAGCATATCACTGGCCATCTGCTCTTATATTCTTGTCATGTGGCTGCTTTCTGTTGGTTTGTGTAGGCATTGCTGGTCTTCTTAAACTTAGTTTATGGCACACAAATTTAGAGTAAAAGTAAGAAGCACTATAAGCCATTTTCTGAAGTTCATTTCTGGCCACAGCTTCTTTTGTCCAAGTTCACATGTTGTCCCCAGCAACCTTCTCAATCCCACAAATTGTTGAAAAAACTTCCGTCTTTAAAATATGTGGCCTCACTAGTGGCCAAGCAGTAAAGTCACTGAACACTGGTAATTCAGTCTGAGTTTGAATCCCGCTAATGGGCCTTTTCCTGGTTTTCCCACATGTGTAACGTGTATACGAGCCAGTTTTTTTTTTTTTAAATTCCTCCACGAAGGCATCCCTCCCTATGGGCAGGTAACCCTCGAGCTCTTTGCCATAGCAAATAAACCAAATCTTTAACAGGTGTACTTTGGACAGTTTTATAAAGAATCCTAAACATTATTGCTTCAAGAATCTCGAAATTCACCATTGCCAATTTTGTGTTTGAAGTCACTGTCTCTTCACCTCATCACCAGCAAATAAAGAAGGGCACTCTTCTGATGCTTATTTTCAATTCTGAAGTGTAGAATTTGAAAAGTACAAACTTCATCTAGCAAATTATTGGTCAAAAACGGTGTTAGAAAGCATAGAAGCTCATTCTGTAAAAAAATTTGTACAAATACACAGTTTGTTTGAATAATCCTTATTTTGAACACTGAAAATATAGAGTTTTCATAAGGTTTTAAGAACATTCCATGTAATTTCTTTTAATAAATATCTATTTTCTATCTGTAATTTTGTATTTGAAGTTACTGTTTTTTCACCTCATCACCAGCAAATAAAGAAGGGCACTCTTCTGATGCTTATTTTCAATTCTGAAATGTGGAATTTGAAAAGTACGAAGTTCATTTGGCAAATTATTGATCAAAAAATGATGTTAGAAAAGCATAGAAGCTCATTCTGTAAAAAAAATTCTGTAAAATTTTCTGTAAAAAATACAAATACACAATTTGTTTGAATAACCCTTATTTTGAACACTGAAAATATAGAGTTTTCATAGGGTTTCAAGAACATTCCATGTAATGTTTTTAAAAATAAATTCGTATTTTCTATTTATGAATGTTAAAACATAATTTTTATATTTACAAATGTTAATTTTTTTTTTTTTTTTTTTTTTTTCATTTCTAGTATCAACTTGATCCCAGCCGTAGCACTTAATGAGAGAACATGCAGGAGAAAATTTATTCAGAAAAACTAGAGCTTATATACACCAACTCACATCTCACATTCAGGCAATAATCTACTTTGTAAGATGCATTGCACCTTCGTTAAAGCATCATCTTCTGTGACAACCTCATATTCAGTACTGTTTCATTCTGCAAATGGCCAGCTTTTCTCCGGTAATCCTTTTCTGATTTGGGTGCTCAAGAAATGAATGTGTATAGCAATGCCTCTTGTGACATTTATGATGATCTGCTCCCAAGAGTTAGTCATTTCACTTTTGTGAATGAAAGGATATATTGGTTATTTTATTATTAAATTAACATTAAACAAATTGATATATTCTGTGAATGAACTTGATTTTCAAAGAAAATGGAATGACTAACAATTGGAAATCAAAAGACAGATCAAGACTTTTCAGATACATTGGTGTAAGAAAAGATAATCAGACTTTTTCTCTTCACACATGTAATATTACAGTGGGATAAAATGGTACATGTGTTGGTGACCCACTAGATACCGTAGGTGCTGAATGTTGTTATAAAGCTACCCTAGCGCAACAAAAAGTGAACGTGTACAAGAGACTCTTCTACATCTCCTGCAATTTCTCTTCTCTGCTATGTTTTAGCAAAGTATCTAAAGGCAGCAGACCCATCATGGCTGCTGTAGGTTGACGTATGTGTACAGATAATGTTAGTGACTATCTCTTAGGTTTGTCCCCTCTTCATCTCAATACAGGCATTAATGTCCCAAAATTTCTGGCGCATTTTCTCACCATTTTCTGCATCTATTTATCTTCTCAGAAAATTGAAACAAGTATGTTTTGCATGATCACTGATTTTTTCTTCAATGATTTCCCCTCCTTAAGCAAAAGTAGTTCAGCAGATCTGAAAATTTTGATTTCTTATTTATTTTAATATTTCAGTATGTGTGCAGAAATTACTTTTACTTATAATTTTAATTAAATTCATATTTTTATACAGATTCGGAACCTGAGCATTAATGTCATCTTTATTAGGATTCCTTGTGGCATTCTGGCTAAATTATTAATTTAAATGGTTAATTTCATTAAAACTGCTGTTCAAAGCATTTTTACATAAATTTTTTATCATAAACTTAAATTTAGGTATAGATATTTTAATTTTATTTGGATTTTACAGACTGAAATTATATTCAAAAACGGAAACTAGGTGAACATTACTTTAATGTATTTCACCTTTTATGTAAAAGAGAGATCTTTTCATTATTTAATATTTAGAATATTTTCTTTCTAGACAAATGAAGCCAACTAAAATATGTTCGTAAATTTTGAAAATGATCATGTTCAGATTTTGCAGATATTCTTTTTTTTCCTTTAAAGCTGAAGATTCAAGTAGCTAATGACGTTTCTGTACAAATTGTTCTTGTAGTTATGTAAAAAGTATGAAGTGTCTTATCCTTGGAAAACACTATATTTACTCGCATAATTCGATTTTCTTCACCTGCTTAAGATTACACTACATTAAGTTTGAATAGGCATCCTGTATAAGGAAATGTCAATTTATATATAAAAAAAGTGTTCGAACTAAAAAATTTTTATTTTACAGTACAAAGTCCGTAATCCGGATTAGGGGGTTTTCCGGACTATAGATCATCAATTTAAATTTGATAAGATGGCATGCAGAAATTATACAATTAAAAATATGAAACTGTAATTTATGAAATAAAGAGCAATTATGATCTATAGGGTATCAAAATTTAAAAAAAAAAAAAAAAAAAAAAGCTTAATATTTATTTGTTTACATTATTAAACATTTCTTTCAATGTAAGTTGTTTAAATTGCTTTGTTTTTTTGTGCTAATACTTTCTCTTTAATTCTCTCTTCTACAAACAGACATAATTTCTTGTTCAGTTACAAAGTTCCACGGTTCAAATCCTGTAATTGCTGTGTCGAGAATTGTGTGTAGAATCAAAATTCTTTCATTAACATTTTTTCCTTATACTAGATTCTTCGGTTCTCTGATTTGGACCTTCGACTAGACACTCACCTTTTTCGTCGACTGACGGCGGCCACCTGACTTTTACTTTCATCTTTTTGTTTTACTGATGTTCTTCACGTGATACAGAGTAAAAGAAAGCACTGCTTTCTGAAACTCAAATTCACTATATGTTCTTAGTAGAAATTTTTTCGTTTTCAATAACCTCTCTGTCACTTTCTTCACTATTGGAAGCGCGCATGTGTAAACGCTTTACTGGCTTTACGCGCATGCGTAAGTTTGTGGCTTTGAGGTCCGGATTACGGACTTTGTACTGTATAATTAATTGGTCAGATGCAAAATTCAATATTTATTTATTAACTTTCTAAATTACATCACTACAAATTAATTGAGTCTTCTTAGTTAAAGCAGTAATGTAAATATATTTGGATCTGAAAATTTTAGAACAATGATTTTCTCCCCTATCAGTTTCAAAATTAACACTAAAGCCCTGTCCAAAACTACAGTGGTGGTAATTAACAAGTAAATTTTATGTATGCAGTAGATATCTCCATATATCTTAAAATTTCCTTCTATTTTACATATTTAGAAACAAAATATAGGGCAAATGATAGTATTTAAATATTTTAAATCAAAATATAAATTCAAATGCTTTTTAAAAACTTCCAGTTAATTGCAAAAAAACAAAAAATAAGGAAATATGCATACTTTTGATGCATTTTTATACATAACTAGTTTACCCAATAGGAGGAATGCAAGAGAAGTTCCTCCATAATTGTAGAGAACTTCCCTATTTATTGTCTTGAAATCCTGAGAAATATTTGGGTAATTTTGCCTTCTTTGTATCTTGATATGGGCTTTGATTTATTGCCTTTTTCTCTTTAAAAAATTTAGAAATGGAATTTAATATTGTTACCTCTTATAAAATAAAATAGTGAAGTTTGTCAATTAAAATCCAAAATAATATCTTGCTCAGAGTAAATTAGTTTTTTACGCAAGTTGTTTGAATTCTAACTGTTCATTGTGGTTAGCGTAGAGAATTTTAACAAAAACTATGTTTGTCTTTCAATTACTAGCTTCTGGTTATGCAATGGGTGATTTTTGTAATTTTTATATTTTAGTGATTGTTTCTCACTAAAAACACTGTAATAAATCATAAGTACACAATAGTGTACTTATGATTTACTTATCTAATTATCCATTTATATTTAACTTTTTTTAAACCCATTTTCATTATTTGAGTTTTGTAAATAAGTTATCTAGATAAAATTTGCTTCTATTTTTATTTATTTAACTGTAATAAGTAAGAAAATATATGCTATGAATTTAAGAAATATTTTAATATAGCAAGGGAGGATGAGGTGGAATAAATGTGCAAAATAATGATTTCATATATTAAAGGAGATTAATTTTGTTTCAAGTATCATTATGCGAGTAAATATGGTAATTAACTTCATACGATTTTTTTTTTAATTGTAACAATAGGAGACTAGTTTCTTTTGTCAGCAAAAATACTTTTTTTTGAGTCGGTTTGTTATGCTAAGAATATTGAATTGTATGAAATGTTATATTAAGTGTAATGAATTCGGTAAAAAAATTGCTCCACTTTTAATGCTTATTGCACACATCATTGATGTAACACATATTTTTTAGTGATTACATTTTGTCATATGGTATATTATGCAGTTAATCAGAAATTGTTTATTTTATGTAAACATCATGCATCTTTGTCTTTTCAGATGATTATAATGTAAAAAATTTGTGATAAAAGCTCACTACTGATGTGCAGATTTTTTCAAACACAATCTTAAAGCTTAAGATATGATGAATTTTAATTTTAATTATTTTTGAAAATTCTGTATGAAACGAATAGCAAATATAGTGGCATATTTAATATCAACAGGAATCTCTTTTCGTAGCTATGAATGACCTTTTTTACAAACAGAGTGCCAAAGATTTTTATACTTTCTGAATGCTATTATGGCTTTAGTTCTCATTGTTAGGTGTTTTGAAATTTGTTTTCTAATTAGTAATTTGCACTTAATATTACTTTGTTTTTCATTTGTTTCTGCATATGCAGAAGAATATTAAAGTCATTTCATTAATAAATAGGTTTTAAAAATACTTTTTTAGGTATTGATAAAATTAAAAAATTTTTGGATAAAAAAATGAATTTATTCCATTTATATAATTGATAAGCAATTTTTCTCATTACTTCGTTTAATTTAAAGATACAAATCCTTCAGTTTGCGCCTCTCATTTTTTTGATGTATAGTACTTAAACACAATCGACCTTTGTAATCATAACTGTTCCAGACCTCTTCAAAATGTTTGACTAAACAGTGCTAAATTTTGAACCGCTCAAATGTCTGAACGTATCCATTGTTTGTTATGTGTGTCTGTCTCTGTGTCAAAGCTTCTAAAGCAACAAAAATATAAAATAACCCAGGTTGTTGTTGGTATGTGCTTTAATTGTTTGAAAAAAGCAATTTTGGTAGTTATTGTTGTAATTATTTTAACTATTTTATTTCCAAACAAAGGCGGTATTATTTTAACAACATTTTATCTTTTAATACTTGTATAGATAGACTAAATTGCCTTTATTTCTGTAGTTTTTTATGCAACTAGTAATTATGCATTTCTTTCAGAAATGTATAAATCTCACAAAGGAGTCTAAAATAGTTCACTAGATATGGGTAAAAGGACGTTCTTCAAGTCAAATAAATACCTTATTTCTTTTTATATATAATAGTGAATCAGGAATATTTGCTATCCACAATTAATTGAAATATAAAAGTTAGAGAAGTGCATGTAGGTATTAACCTAGCACATACTTTTTTTTTTAAACTTTCAGTTTATGATTTTATATATATCTATATATGTATACACAAATATTACTCTCCTTAATATCAAGATATGTTTAAATCATGATACATTTTAGAGACATGCATTTCTTTGAAAGAGAATTGCTGGTTTTATTTCTTATAGCTACCTTATCTTTTACTTTACAATATGGAGTTTCCAAGAGCTTCAGATTCCCAGTATCTCAGTCTGCTTGGGCATTTAGGCAGTGTGTAATTCTCATTTTGATTAGTTCTTAAAAACCTGAAATATAAATTAATCCTTTGACTGCATTTATCTGGTCATGAGACTTTTTATCACTCAATATATAATAGCATATTTTGGTTTCTTACTTTCTTCAGTGATGTAAATATCATCATAATGAATGGAAGTTTATGAAAAGTAAATATGCAGATTTAGCTATTAAATGCTTTTCAGTGCAGTTCTTGTGCAGGCTAAGAAAAAACAATACATATGTTTGTATTTAAATATTACACCAGAGCTGTAATATATATATATGTGTGTGTGTGTGCGTGCGTGTGAATGATATTATAATGCAGATGTAGATTTCGAGCAGCGGTTCTCAACTTTTTGACTAACACATACCATCTAAACTAAAACTGAAAACCTTTAGTACCACCACTACAAAGTACTACTACAACCACCACTCTTCAACAAAGCTTATATTGCATAAATACGAGTGTTAGAGAAAAACCTCAATCAGGATGTTGGGGTTTTAATTTTTGAATTTAATAGTTAAAAATACTTTGCTTCTTTGCGTACCACCAGTTGAGAATCCCTGATTTAGAGTATGGAGGTAAATAAGTGGTTTGAGCAAGATTTCAAAATTTTATTCGTATTTATTTCTCGTCAAAAGGTTGTTTTTGTAAAGCAGCAAACAGTATTAGAGTGGAATATTCCACAGGCATACAACACCACATAATATTAATTCTTCACTTTATGAAAGCATTTTTCTGCCTTGAATATTCCATTTTACACCATATCTGTGTAGATAGTCCCCCCTTTTTTTAAATGATGCTTTCTGATTTTCAGTTCGATAATTTAACTGAACTGAAATCGTTTTGCTACCCTTCAAATTCAATATCATTTATATAGTTTTTCTTGTATCTGAATGTGTTTATATTTCTTTTTATTAATGTGTGATATTTTTGCACAGAACTGAAGCTCTTGGCAGCTTGAGAATTATCTCTAAGTATTAAATTTTCTTTAAAAATAATGACAAATCCTTTCATATTATATGAATAGTTTTTATGTACAAATTTATTCTCATATTTAGCTGCTGCTGTGCAGTTTTTGTAAATATTGATTGTTTTTATATGAACTGCCAGAAAATTATTCAAAATACTTTTCTTTATGTTAAGCATAATAATGCACTTTCTATGTGTTATTGGGGGGAAAAAATATTTTGTTCTAGTTTTCAGTTAGTAAATGTGTTTTAATTTAATCATTTTAAACTAAATACCATCTTGTAAATTCAAGAATATTCATTCTGTAAGCACCCCAAAAAGAGATCTGACTGAAGGCATTTAGTACTTTTTTACAATTGTTTAGCCTTTTTTCATTTTTACTAATTTTCGGTACAAAATATATAGTTTGGAAAATTTTCTATCATGTGATATGAGTTTGCTAATTATAGCAAAGGTTTACAAAAATATACATTTTGTTTGTGTGCTTGATGCAGCCTTTTTGAATTTTATATATGTATAAATGTATCTATATCTATACCATATTAATTAATATAATTTCCTTCTCTTTTTGAATCAATTTGTGATAGAAAATTACAAAGGAAAATATTGATATTAAATAGAATGTTAAAATGGAT